CTGTCCCCTGGGAGCAGAGGGGATCCCCTCTGCTCACACAGGGACAGGAGCTGATCCCTGGGATCCCCTCTGCTCCCAGGGGACAGGAGCTGATCCCTGGGATCCCCTCTGCTCCCAGGGGACAGGAGCTGATCCCTGGGATCCCCTCTGCTCCCAGGGGACAGGAGCTGATCCCTGGGATCCCCTCTGCTCCCAGGGGACAGGAGCTGATCCCTGGGATCCCTGCTGCTCCCAGGGAACAGGAGCTGATCCCTGGGATCCCCTCTGCTCCCAGGGGACAGGAGCTGATCCTTGGGATCCCCTCTGCTCCCAGGGGACAGGAGCTGATCCTTGGGGTCCCCTCTGCTCACACAGCACAGGCACACGGGGCTGGGGGAGTTCCTCCTGTGCCTGTGCACACCAATTGCTGCAGTGTCCCACAAGGACACAGACCGAAGGGGCTGGGGAGGAGCAGGGGAGGGATATTCCTGCTCCTGCTCCTGCTCCTGCTCCTGCTCCTGTTCTGGCTGTGCAGCAATCCAGGTGAGCTGATCCATGGATGGGCATGGGGGCAGGATGTCCTCCCTGTGCGCAGCCCAGGGGTGGAGGATGGGACTTGTCCCAGTTTTTACCCATTTCTACCAAGACCCGAAGAGTGGATGATGCACAGAGTGAATAAATCCATCTGCTTTTTGCTGTGGGATGTTGCAGAGGATGAGGATGCTGTGCACGTCTGGTTTGCACAGATTCAAACACTGAATTCTGCATTTTCATGTTGAGGGCCATCAGAGCACGCTGGAAAGCTGCTAATTTAACTTATCGAGCTAACTACTGAGCTGCTGAAGTGAGGAGCAGACCACAGATGTCTGGAGCTTGTTGAAAATACCCCAGTCCCATCTCTCATGGCATGCTGATGAGTTTAACCCTCAATTCAACAACACCGAGCTCCCTGTTTGCACAGACAGATTGAGCGTGAATTCCTTGAATGCTGGGGGCGGGAAAAGTTTAAATTCTCCCACACCAGCCCCTAAAAAGAGCAGTGGGCAAGTCAGGAACTCCTTAGTGTCAGCTTGAGGGGCATTTTATAACTTGCTTTTAATTTTTTCCTTACAGCCCCAAAGGCACCGTTCTGCATTCAAAGCTTGAGCCCTTCTGGCATCTCCTTTCTGTTCTGATTTGTGTTCCACAGAGCACAGCCCTTCCCTGGGGGCTGGAGCCCTGGGCTGACAGCTCTGCAGCAGAGACAGCGCTGCCTTTCTGCACGTTCCCTAATTTTCCTCACAGCTGTAGCTGCAAGAACAACATTCCTGAGAGGAATTAGAGTTGCTGTGTATTTTCCTAATAACAATGGAGTGAAATGCCTGGCACGGGGAGCAGCCAGGGCTGCAGCAATGGCAGCAGCAGCTGGAACAGTGGATGAACTCGGAACTGAAGGGAAACACGAAGTTCTGGATTTGCCAATGCCTCGGGCTGTAAGAGTGGCCTGTGCCCTCGGGGCCGGCGTGGGTGACAGATAAATTCTGGTAAATGCTGCTGCTCCTGCAGCTCCTGGCAGCACGGTTCCCCAGGGGCTGCACAGACACGAAACAGGGAGACAAGTGCAGCCCTTCCCCTTCTCCTTCCTCTGCAGCTGCGATGAGAGAGAGCAAAGGGTGCAGGGGGCACAGGAGGAGCGGGAGAACCATGGAGTGCTTTGGGCTGGGAGCGACCCTAAAGCTCCTCCTGTTCCACCCCTGCCTTGGGCAGGGACCCCTGCACTCTGGGAGAGCGGCTCCAGCTGGAGGGGCCCCAGCTCATGGATGTCCCAAACCCCAGGCAAATGCTTCTGATGAGATCCTTCAGGGGGAGTGGGGGAAACTGAGGCTGCTGTAGGACTCGTTTTGTGTTGTCACCAGGGAGTGCGTGGAGGGAACTCCCAGAGCTGGCACAGGACACCAGGGCAGGCTCTGGACTGATAACAGCTGTCCTCTGTGTTTATCTGGGGGTGTCAAAGCCTCGGCTCCACAGAGACAACGCGCTTCCTTCTGCTGCAGCAAGCTGTGTACAGCCCCAGAGACACCCGACTGTGACACCCGAGTGACATCCTGTGACACCCGACTGTGACACCTGACTGTGACATCCTGTGACACCTGACTGTGACATCCTGTGACACCCGACTGACATCCTGTGACACCCGGCTGTGACATCCTGTGACACCCGACTGTGACACCTGACTGTGACACCTGACGTGACACCCGGCTGTGACACCTGACTGTGACACCTGACTGTGACACCTGACTGTGACCCCCGCCTGTGACATCCTGTGACACCCTGTGACACCCTGTGACATCCTGTGACCCCCGACTGTGACATCCTGTGACACCCTGTGACATCCTGTGACACCCTGTGACACCTGACTGTGACACCCGGCTGTGACACCCGACTGTGACACCCGACTGTGACACCCTGTGACACCTGACTGTGACACCCGGCTGTGACACCTGACTGTGACACCCGACTGTGACACCCTGTGACACCTGACTGTGACACCCGGCTGTGACATCCTGTGACACCTGACTGTGACACCCGACTGTGACATCCTGTGACATCCTGTGACATCCTGTGACACCCCTGGCATCACGAGTCCCGCACTGTAACACCTGCGGGGGGGGAACCTGGTGAAGGTTTGTCAAACCTGCTGCTCGAGCCCGAGACCCTCGGAGGGGTCGCAGCCTGTTGCTCATTTCCCTCGTGCAGCCTCTTTGTCCTGACAGAGATCCCACAGGAGATGCACAGCAGATCCACAGCAGATCCCACAGGAGATCCCACCACAGATCCCACGGCAGATCCCACAGCAGATCCCACAGGAGATGCACAGCAGATCCACAGCAGATCCCACAGCAGATCCCACCACAGATCCCACAGCAGATCCCACAGCAGATCCCACAGCAGATTCCACAGCAGATCCCACAGCAGATCCCACAGCAGATCCCACAGGAGATCCCACAGCAGATGCACAGCAGATCCACAGCAGATCCCACAGGAGATCCCACCACAGATCCCACAGGAGATCCCACCACAGATCCCACAGCGGATCCCATAGCAGATCCCACAGGAGATCCCACAGCAGATCCCACAGCAGATCCCACAGCAGATCCCACGGGAGATCCCACAGCAGATCCCACAGCAGATCCCACAGTGGATCCACAGCAGATCCCACAGTGGATCCACAGCAGATCCCACAGGAGATCCCACCACAGATCCCACAGCAGATCCACAGCAGATCCCACAGCAGATCCCACAGCAGATCCACAGCAGATCCCACAGCAGATCCACAGCAGATCCCACAGCAGATCCTGCTCATCCTGCAAAAGGATCCCCCAAACCCATAAAAGGGCCATCAGGATGCTCAGCAGAGCTTTGTGTCCCTGAGGCCATGGGGATCTGGAGTTCTGACCTGCCTGAAGCAGTGAGAGGGGATTTGACCTGTGTGACATCTCCTGGTCTGGAGAACAACGAGTCCTGAAAACCAGAATGCTGGGGGAGATGGAGGACTCTGGGTGATGGGTGGTGCTGGATTCCTCAAGTCCCACCCCTGGGGTGGCAGTCGGGGGGGAGCTCACTGCTCCTTGGCTCCCCAGGCCCAGCAGCCGAGCGAGAGGAGGAGCCCCGAGCGCACAGCAGGGCCTGGGCATTGCCAGATCTCCTCACCTGGAGATCTGAGTGGGGATTCAGTGCTCTGTGGAGGAGATTCCTGAATCCCTTCTGTGTGGGTGCTGCAGAACACATCTCTGCTGGCAGGGAGCCTCATCCTCACTTTACATCTATTGTTGTCATTATTATTATTACTATTATTATTATTATTATTATTATTGTTGTTATTATTATTATTATTATTATTATTATTATTATTATTATTATTATTATTATTATTATTATTATTATTATTATCATCTTAGATCATTTTCACCTCTGTTTTTCTTATTTCTGTGAAAAATCCTCAGGCTTGATGATCTTTTCTTTCTCTAAAAATACCCTTGGCAGCAGGGGCCTGAGGGAAGTGCCTTGTGCCAGTTTGTGCCTCAGAGCTGAGCACAGCTGAGAACCCGGGCAGGGCAGCCGTGCTCTGCCAAGCCCCCAGCAGCTCGTGGGTGCCAAAAAGCAGTGCTGTGAACATCTGCCAGCCCAGGGGTGGCGGATTTTGGACTTGGATATGCCTGTATGTACAAACTCGAGCGCTGTTTTCCAGCAGGAATGAAGACAACAATAACCACATCACCCTCTCCTGGATGGGAGAGCTCTGGCAGCTCCCTGTGCTGCCCAGGAACTAATTCTGCACGCTGGGAAGAGATTTCAGTCCTACTTACCCACCTGGCCAGGCTGAAAGGTGGACAAGGATTGTCCTTCCTTACGGGTTTCTGGCCCTCAGCTGGGTGCAGGTCCCTGCTCTGCAGGAAGCAGAATCTCAGTTGGTTTTCAGGACCCACTGATCACATCTGGCACATCTGGCACTGCCAAAGGCAGTTTGTGTCACCCCTGCTCTGCCCTGCTTCGATAAATGGTGTGCACAGCTCTCACTGACAAGAAACAAGGGTCTGAGGGCAGCGAGCTCTCCGTGACATGGGCACCCTCCCTTCAGAGCTGCTCCTCACTGCAGCTACAGCAGCTCTGCCAGAGGGAGCTGAGCTTTACCTGGAGCTGACATGTGAGAAGCAGCTCAGAAAAGCTTTTTTTTATTTTTTTGCCTTAAATACAAACATTGAAATGGGTATTTCTGTATCCATTCTCAGATAGGAGCTGCCTGAGCACCTTCCCTCCAGGCTGCCAGTGAATCCTTTATACCCCCCTCAAAGGTCCCAGGACTCCCAGGCTCATTTGGTGCTTCTTCTTCTTCCTTTTTCTATTTGGCTGATCCGCTGTGTCAAAGGGAATGATGCAAACAGCTCCTAAGAGCGAATCCCAGAGCTGGAGCTGCTGTGGGGCTGCCTTGGGCTGGCACCAAGCACTGGGAATGATGTCAAAGCAGGGTGGGAATGTGCTGCTGGTTTATTGCCTCAACAAGGGAGATCAGGCAGGAGGAAACTCCTGGGAGACCCCAGTGGGGACAAGAAGGAGAGATGTGAATGCATCAAGAGGATGGCTGGCTCTTTGTTCTGGATCTGAGTTTGTTCCCATGCTGAATAAATGGTTTAATGGTGTTCCATGCTGGTCCCCAGAACCCTGCAGCTTCCCTGGCCGAGATCCTGAGGTTGCAGACTGCAGCCAGCCCCCCTGGCCCATGCTGCAGTGCTGCCCACTCTGCCCCCGGAGGACAGGGACTCCCTCCCTCAGCCCCTGCACAGCTCAGCTCGCTTTCCCTGGCAGCTGGGAGAAAGGATCCCTGAAGAGCCCTGGGTGCAGAGCAGGCTGATGTTCCCAGCCTGGCAGGAGCCTTTGGAAGCCTTCCTGGAGCTGATGGAGACCTGCAGGCAGCAGAGGGCTGAGCAGAGCCCCAGAGCAGAGCCAGGCCTTTCCTCCCGGAGGGTCTGGCGTAGCCCAGCTGGGCTCAGGTCCCGCTGCATCTGGAGATGTCACACTGACCATCCCAGCCCGTCCCAGCACGGGTCACCAGCTGGAGCTGGGCTGTGGTGGCAGAGCTGGAAACCTCACAGGTGCTTTGGGTTGGGGGTCACTTGCTCTCTGGGGACATTCCCCATTTTTTTCCATGAGGCTTTAAACATCCTGGGAATCACAAGGTCCTGACAATTTTCTCCTTCCAGGCAGTGCCTCTGTTGATGATGCTGTACCTGAACCTTCATTGCTGCGTGCAGAGCACAGGGCAGGGAGCAGAGTTCCCAGGCAATGGGACACAGGAGGGGAGCGATGGCAGCAAAGCCCTTCTTGCAGAGCAGTGAATTTCTGCCCCAGCCCCGAATGCTCCCCCTCCCGCAGGGGAACTGCTCTGCAGAGACCAGAGATGTTTTCCTGCCTGACACATCAACCCCAGCAGGGAGCTCTGCATCTCCCCGATGCTTCAGGCTAATTAGAGACAGCAGTCAGAGAAGGTGGCAGTTTTTAACCCATTCAGTGCCCGTGACCTTGCAAACAGGGCTGTGTTTTGCACGTTTGTACCTGGTTTCTTCCAATGTTTTGATTTGGAGGAGATGTAGGAACCACCATGGAATTACAGAAGGGCTGTGCTGGAAGGAACTTGATATCATCGAGTTCCAGCCACCTGCCATGGGCAGGGGAGCCTTCCACCAGACCAGAATCCCTGGATCCTGAGGCTGGAAAAGCCCTCGCAGCCCAGGGAGTCCCAGCTGTGGCCGATGCCCACCTTGTCCCCAGCCCAGAGCCCTGAGTGCCACGTCCAGCCCTTCCTTGGGCACCTGCAGGGATGGGAGAGGAGAGGAGAGGAGAGGAGAGGAGAGGAGAGGAGAGGAGGAGAGGAGGAATACTTGGAGGTCATTTTCCAGGAGATCTCCTGGGAGATCTCCAGCTGCTACAGCCCCATGTGTGTCCTTGTTTCCTCTCTTGCCACCTCCAGGCTCCTGTGACTCCCAGTCCTCTTCCCACATCTCCCATCCTGCTTTTGCCTCCCTCCTTCCCTCCAGCTGTCCCTCACCCTGTCTCACCTTTTCCCTTTTCAGTCAAGTGTACCCTTCCCAGTTATTCTGGGCCATCCCCACCGCTGGCTCTGGCCCTGCTCCTGGAGGAGATGAGGGCTGGGTGTCCCCAAGGTCTGGTTGAGGTTTTCCTTGCTGCAGGACAGGTGACCTGGGGCCTCACCTCTGGACATTCCAGAAGGAAAGGGGTTGCCATGCAGCCACGTTCTGTTCCCAGCAAAGCAACATTCCATGACTAAACTTTGGAAAACAGGATGTGAGTGAGCTTTTTCTGCACCCAGGAGAAATCCATCATGCCTTCCTGCTCTGAGGCTCTATTAGCTCTCTGAGAAGTAAATGAGTAGAAAACACAATACAGCATTCCAGGGTGGTTCATTCATTTTTCTTTATTAATTTTCTTTCTCAGCACAAGAGGGAAAAAAGGAACATATGGGGAATGATCAGGAGCTATTTCTCAGTGCCATGGCCACCTGAAAAGGGTTTAGACCCATAATGCTGTGAAAAATTCATTCACATTTCCCAAATCACATTAGGCAGGTACAGATTGTTTTCACTTTTATGAATTTTTTTACCCTTCTAAGCTCTATTAAACCAGAATGTGCCAAAAATGTCAGGAGACAGAATTGCCTTGAAGTCCCAGCGGAGAACTGTTTGTAACTCACCTAAATGAAAGCATTTCTTTTGAAATAAATTGGGGTTGAATTTAGCAGAAAAGGTTATAGCAAGACTGAAGCTGTACCAGCACAGACTACAAAAATGAGCCCTGTTTTACTCTCAACATTTGCTGGCATTGGGAAGGAACTGCACCAAACTCCACCAAGTATTGCGGCACTGGAGGCTCTGGCAGAGATTTTGGTGAGATCCCCCACCTAAAGTCATGGACAAGAGCCCTGAGCACCTGGACCTGGCCTCTGAGGGAGCTGGGAAGGGGCTGGAGCCCCAGGAGGGGCTGAGGGAGCTGGGCAAGGGGCTGAGCCTGGAGCAAAGGAGGCTCAGGGGGCCCTTGTGGCTCTGCACAAGTCCCTGGCAGGAGGGGACAGCTGGGGAGGTCGGGCTCTGCTGCCAGGGAACAGGGACAGGAGGAGAGCTCAGGCCTCAGGCTGGGCCAGGGGAGGCTCAGGGTGGGCAGCAGCAGGAATTTGCCCATGGAAAGGGAGCTCAGGCCTTGGCAGGGGCTGCCCAGGGAGCTTTGCAGTGCCCATCCCTGCAGGTGCCCAAGGAAGGGCTGGACGTGGCACTCAGGGCTCTGGGCTGGGGACAAGGTGGGCATCGGGCACAGTTGGGACTCCCTGGGCTGGGAGGGCTTTTCCAGCCCCTGGGATCCTGGGATTGTGTGATATTAATGGAGACACCGGGGTCTGAGAGCAGCTGGGGCTCCTGAAGGGTGCAGACCGATCCGTGCTGCTGCAGCTCCCTGGGAAAGGTCCGGGCAGGGCCCAAAACCCACCGAGGTCAAACGGGAGCTCTCAGCCCCAGCACCCCCCTGAGGGATCTGCCTGCACATCCCTGATTTCACCTCGTCTGTGAAACCACAATTCATGACAACGAGAGCACTGCGAGGGGTTCCCACTGATCCATACAAATCTCTCCAGGTGTGCCAGAGGATGGGGCCAGACTCTGTTCAGTGCTGCCACTGACAGGGCTTTTTTAGGAATTCCCATTGTGGAACACCTTTGGCTTGGAAATGAGACTTCCTTCAGCTTGGAGTCATCACTGACTTTTATGGTGTGCTTATTTTTATCCTTGAGAAGTTTTCATTTTATTGAATACAGTTATTAATTTAAATCATTTTTACAATTGCTACCAGTAGCTCTGAGTCTGAAGTTTTTCCACAGCACCTGCCATGAGGAGGTTGAGGGATCTTGACAGAGCACACAGCAAGTCAGAAGAAGACCCCATAGGTGGATGTTCCTCTCCTGAAATGCATTTCTGTAATGTCACTTTGTACAGGTGTCCTGTAATTATTTTGCTTAGAGAATGATGCTGTGCACAAATTTTCTGTCAAAACTTGGAACGTGACTGTGCCCCATGTGAAAACCCATGTGAAAACAAGGAATTAACTAAATCATCCCAAGCCATCCAGCATCTGCTCTGCTCTGCCACTGCTAGAGGTGAGACAGGAACTGAGAGCTGCAATGTTGGGACATCTGGATAAGTTTGCAGAGTCACTTTTCCCTTCTTGTGGAACCTGCCAGGTCGGGCTTGGATTTCCATCATTGCAGTCATTTCTCTGAGTCTGGTGAGGGCAAACAGTCTTGGAAGGAGTTTACAGTCAGCTTTAGCCTGGTGGCAGCACCTCGGAGCACACGGAGGACAGTCCGGCACCAAAGCCTCTGGTGTAAGACAGGATGAGCCAGAGGGAGGTCACGGGGCCCAGCTCAGGTCACCGCGGAGCTCTGCCGGTGACGTGAATCAAACTCAGGATCCTCCTCTGGATCTGCTTGGTCCTCACCCCGTAGATGATGGGGTTGAGCACAGCGGGTACCAGGATGTAGATGTTGCCCATGATGATGTGGACCAGTGGGGCCAGGTCCTTCCCAAACCTGTGCACCACAGAGAGCCCGATCAGGGGCACGTAGAAGGCCAGCACGGCGCAGACGTGGGCGATGCAGGTGCTGAACACCTTGAGCCGCTCCCTCCAGGCCGCGAGGCGCAGGACGGCCTTGAGGATGAGGACGTAGGAGAGGCAGATGAGGACGGCGTCCAGCCCCATGACCAGCAGGATGGCGGTGAGCCCGTACACCACGCTGGGGGTGGTGTTGGCGCAGGCCAGGTTCATCACGTCCTGGTGCAGGCAGAAGGAGTGGGACAGCACGCGGGGGCCGCAGAAGGGGAGGGGCAGCAGGAGCAGAGGCAGCGGCAGGAAGAAGAGCACCCCTCTGGCCAGGGCCAGCAGCCCGATCTTGGCCGTGGCGCCGTTGGTGAGGACGGCGGCGTGGCGCAGCGGGTGGCAGATGGCCACGTAGCGATCCACGGCCATGGCCAGCAGCACGGTGGACTCGACGGCCGAGAGCGTGTGGATGAGGAACATCTGGAGCAGGCAGGCGGCGAAGCTGATCTCCCTGCTGTCGAACCAGTAGAAGGAGAGGACGCGCGGCACGGTGGCCGTGGCCAGGGCCAGGTCGATGGCGGCCAGCATGCAGAGGAAGAAGTACATGGGCGCGTGCAGGCTGGGCTCGGCGCGCACCACCAGCAGCACCGCGCAGTTCCCCGCCAGCGCCAGGATGTAGGCCGAGCACAGCGGGATGGCCATCCAGGACTGCGCCGCCTCCAGGCCCGGGATGCTGGCCAGGATGAAGGACGGGCTGAGGTCAGAGCTGTTGGAGAAGGGCATGGCCCGCAGCACCAGGGGCGCTCATGCTATGCCAGGGCACTTCCTGCTGCGAGGGAAACACAAACGGGGCCTTTTATAAGCCCTTTCCCATGGCTTGGGATCCCACAGGGCCATTCCTGGGATTCTCAGAGCTGCCACACTGATGCAGAGAGCTCCTCTCCCAGATTTTTACCCCGTTATGGCTCTATGCAGCCACATACGCGGTGACAAAACGCTGACATTTGAGTTTGAACGGGAATTGCCTGAATTCTCTAAAAGGCAGAACACCGTAAAATCAACCTTTTGAATAATAAACCCATCAGCTGAACTTGTTTGCTTTTCTTTTCAGAGGACAAAATTAAAAATAATAACAAAAAAACCCAGCAGATTTTTAGTGCTTTCTGGAAAGCTTCAGTGCTGCTTGATTTTTTCCATATGTGATGTGGTGCCCTGTCAGAAATGTGCTCAGCGAGGCTGAAGCTGGCAGTGCTGCCTCCCACGACCCAGCCCTCCCCAGAACAGCTCACAGGCACAGGCAGACATGGGTCTTTCCAATTTTTTTTGCTTGTGCAAATTGGATATTCACCCTATGAAAAACATGCATGGAAAAAACAGAATATCTGTAGAAAAAAAAAAATAATCAGATTATTCACCTTATTCTGTACCTGCAGATTTTCCAGGAGTGCTGTGATCCCCGGGTAATGGCCTGAAGATACATAAAAGGCTTTACTTCAGGCACTTTTCTATTTTCAGGTACCAAGCCGGTACCTGTGCTGGAGTAAACCCACCATCCCTCCTGCCCTGCGTGGACAGCACAAGGTCAAGCACAACCTGAGCTTTCTGGTTATTCTTTTCATGCCCAGCCTGTGCCAATAAATGATGCAAAGTGGCTTTATGGCAAGCTCTGCAGGTTATTAAAGGAGTTATTTTATAAGTAATGTTGGGTTGTGAAACGTGGGGGTTTTTATCGCACATCTGTGGTGAAGGCCTAAAATAGCATCAGGCTTTATTCTCCTGATGTGGGGCTTTTCCATCTCGGATGTATAACAAGCAGGACTCACCCTGTAGCTTTTTATCCCCGATATACACACAGTGTGGGAGGACTGCTGCTGTCACCGTGCCCAAAATCTATTCCAGGGATGACGTTGGCAGCCAAGCACTCGCATTAAACACAAATGGAATGAACACGGAGGCTCAGCAATCACCAGCAGGTACTGAGGCACCTCAGCTGCCAGCCCTGATGGAATTACCTGAGTCTCACTGGAAAGCTTCTGCCCTCCTGATCATTTCCCTGGGGGAATGGGGTTGTGAGACAGGCACTGAAACCACCCCTGGTGCTTCAGTTCATCTCTAATTCTCTGCCACTGATAAATGTATGCAGGTTTTCATAAGTGGCTCAGGACTTGGGATTGCTGGTGGGCAGAGCAAGTGCTGTGAGGGCCTGGGTTTCTGTAGAGATGGAAACTGGGTCCATGTCTCTGAAACACCAGTAAATGCAGATTTATTTTCCTAGGGGGATCCAAGCATCAGCCCCAGCAGTAAATCACAGAATCGCTGGGGTTGGAAACCCAGGATCCAACCTTGGACCAATCCCCACCTCATCAAAGAACCATGGAATGGTTTGGGTTGGGAGGAACATTAAAGTTCATCCCATTCCCAGCCCAGCCACAGCAGGGACACCTCCCACTGTCCCAGGAGCTCCCAATGTCCAGCCTGGCCTTGGGCACTGCCAGGGATCCAGGGGCAGCCCCAGCTGCTCTGGCAATTCCATCCCAGCCCCTGCCCACCCTGCCAGGGAACAATTCCTGCCCAAGATCCCAAGATCCAGCCCTGCCCTCTGCCCCTGGCAGCCATTCCCTGGCTCCTGGCCCTGCAGCCCTTGGCCCCAGTCGCTCTCCAGCTCTCCTGGAGCCCCTTCAGGCCCTGCAAGGGGCTCTGAGCTCTCCCTGCAGCTTCTCCTCTCCAGCTGAGCACCCCCAGCTCTCCCATCTTTCTTTTCCTTTCTCCTTCTCTGCCTCCTCCCTCTTTCCCTTCCCCTTCCTCTCCCCTCCAACCTTTATCTCTCCCTCTTTCATTCCCCCTCCACCCTGCTCTCCAGCTGTGCTGATAAATCCCCCACACTTTGCCCCCCAACTCCCCCACAAACATTTTCTTACTGTAGCAGAGGCTCCTCGGGCTTTTTGTTTCGGGGCCGTTTTGGAGAACAGCTGCAGCCAGGACACACAGACCTCCAGGGATGAACTCTGGAAGATTTCAGAATGGGAGCAGACTCAGAACCTTCTCAGAATTCTCAACCATCAGTTTCAGAATCCCGTGTGAGGTTGCTGCCAGCCAGGCGTCTCTACAGCAAAGCCCTTTTCCCCTGGATCTCGCTCCCTTCTGTTATTTTCCCCTGCAAGCTCCAGTTTAGGTCAGAGGGATTTGAGCAGAGCCCTTTCCTTCCCCAGTGCCAGTGGGAGCTGCTCCCCAGGCTGAGCTCCTGGGGGCTGCTGCTGTTGGGCAAGGGGCCCTGGGACACAGTAAGATAATGAGCAGAGCAGAGAGCGAGCAGTGGCCTGGGAATCCTCCCCTCAGGACTCTTCCCTGCCCTCTTTCTGGTTTTTTATGGAGATGTTTCCGCATTATTTCTTCCTCTATTTTTTTCTCTCCAGCTCCATGTGGAGCAGAACAGAAAGTCACTGATCTGGGCTGGTGAAGTGCTCAGTGTCAGGCAAAACCAGGACAGTTTAGGGGTGGGATCCTGTCCTGGTGCCTTTGCTGCTTCATCCTTCCAAAGTAAACACTGACTGTTGCTTCTCATTCTCCACAGTGCTCAGGACTGGTGAAAATGTGGCTTGAGATGAAGAGAAGGACAGCTCTGCAGTTTGGAGGAGTGAAACATTCACAGCTGGATGTGGCACTCTGTGCTCCTGTCTGGGTGACAAGCTGGGGGCCACTCACCTGTCTGGCAGCGTTTTTCCAACCCAGTGGTTCTGTGACTCTGTTCTATGGTTCTGGGACGTTTCAACCTGTCTGGGGGACGATGTGAGCCAGGAGAACCATGAAACCTTTCAGCCTCCAGCAGGGCAAGGAAATGCTGGGACATGCTGGCATCTCCCACCTGTGGGTGTCCCTGGAGGTTCCCACCCTGCTGAGGGGCACAGCCAGCACCAGCAGGCCTCAGAGGGAAGGCAGCAGCACGGGGGCCTGAGTGACAGGAAGTTTAACCATTCCTAAAATGTTTTTGATCTTCCCATTTTGTTTGCAAGAGAGCTTCCAGCCCCAGCAGAGCCCCAAGCCCATCCAGACACACACCTGGCTCACACAGTCCTGCCCACCTGCAGCACATCCTGAGGATTTTAGGCAGCTCCAACCTAATCTTTCTGCATCATATAGACAGAAAAAAAGGCTTCCTCAAATCTTATGACCTTTCACAACAAATAGATGGATTTTATTGTATGCTGCACATACATGACATTCAATGCAGAACAATGATGGGGACACTAACTAGGCTTGGCAAGCTGGAAAGACTCAGACATCCAGAAGAGATGCACAAGCAGCTGTTTTCTCACTGGGGATGGACACAGCGCTCTGGACACAGGGATGATGGCTGAACAGGTTTCTCAGAAGGGCTGAGACTGCTCTGGGCTCCTCAACAGGGCCTAATGAGAAATGTTCTCTGCTTGGATGTGTCGTTAACCCGGGGTGTCTGCAGGAAGGGAGGAAAGCACCGTGCTAGGACACAACCCAAAGTTCCCAGCTCTGGGCTGGGGGACAGCATCCCAGTGCCTCTGCAGCATGGATGGAGCACCAAGAGACCAGTGCACCAGCTCTGACCAGGAAACAGTCCCAGAGCTCTGACCAAGGACCCAGAGCTCTGACACAGAGCCCAGTTCCACAGAACTGACACAGAGCCCAGTCCCAGAGCTCTGACACAGAGCCCAGTCCACAGGACAGACACACAGCCCAGTCCCTCAGGACAGACACACAGCCCAGTCCCTCAGGACAGACACACAGCCCTCAGGACAGACACACAGCCCTCAGGACAGACACACAGCCCAGTCCCACGGGACAGACACACAGCCCACAGGACAGACACACAGCCCACAGGACAGACACAGGACAGACACACAGCCCTCAGGACAGACACACAGCCCACAGGACAGACACAGGACAGACACACAGCCCACAGGACAGACACAGGACAGACACACAGCCCACAGGACAGACACACAGCCCTCAGGACAGACACACAGCCCAGCCCCTCAGCCCTCCTGGCAGAACCGGAGCAGGAATCTAGCAGTCGGCCCCGCGCGTCCTGCGCAGGGCCCTGAGCAAGGCCTCGCGGATGTGGGTGGATTTCACGCTGTAGATGACGGGGTTGAGAGCGGGGGGAATGGTGAGGTAGGTGTAGGCCACCGCGGTGTTAACGAGGGGAGGAACGTCCTTTCCAAAGCGATGGATCATGGACAGGCCGATCATGGGGATGAAGAACACGAGCACGGCGCAGATGTGGGAGACACAGGTGTTCAGAGCCTTCAGACACTCCTCCTTGGTGGTGAGGCTGACGACGGTTCTGATGATGAGGATGTAGGACAGCACGATGAAGATGAAGTCCATCCCCACCGTGGATAAGAGAATGATCATCCCGTAGAAGACGTTGACCTTTATGTCTGCGCACGCCAGGTTCATGATGTCGGGGTGGAAGCAGAAGGAGTGGGACAGCTCCGTCCTGCCGCAGTAGGTCAGCCTCCTGAGCAGGAAGGGGACGGGCAGCAGCGACACCGTCCCCCTCAGCACAATGGCCAGGCCGATCTTCAGCACAGTGCTCTTGGTCAGGATGGCCGCGTGTCTCAGGGGGTGGGAGATGGCGATGAAGCGGTCAAAGGCCATGGCCAGCAGCACGGAGGACTCGATGAAGGACAGGATGTGGATGAAATACATCTGGGTGAGGCAGGCGTCGAAGCCAATCCTGCGCACATTGAACCAGAAGAGGCCTAGGGTGGTGGGCAGGGTGCAGAGGGCCAAGCCCAGGTCAGTGACGGCCAGCATGGACAGGAAATAGTACATGGGCTCGTGGAGACTCGGGGTCCTCCTGATGATGAACAGGATCACGCAGTTGCCCAGGAGAGCGGTGAGGTAGAGGGCACAGAAAGGGATGGAGACCCAGGGGTGAAGGGCTTCCAGGCCCGGGATGCCCATCATGAGGAAAGCTGCAGGCTGGTGGAAGGAGCCATTGAATTCCCACGGGGTGGGCGAGTCCCGCTCCATCCCAGCTCCGCTCTCACATGGCCTAGACCTAAAACAAACCAACAACACAAACTCCACGTGGCTGGACTCTCCGCTGGGCAGAGGAGCTGCACATCCCTCCACCTCCCCACCAGCCTCTGCAGGGCTCCCTGTGCCGTTTGGGGGCTGCCACATGTGGCCACACTCTTGTGTATCCATTAAATCCTAAGCTGAAGGAAAAGGATGGACATTTTTTGTTGAAAAAGTAGAAAGAAAAAGAAAGAAATAGCTTTGAATAAAAAGGAAAATATTCCACTATTTCACAGTTGTCCCCAAATTCCAGAGTTTGAGATGCTCTATGAAGTGAGCAAACGCCTTTTCCATGCT